CTTCATGGCGACATTTTTCCTTGTTTCCTTCCTTAGCTTCTCAAACTGGGAAGAGAATCAGCAGGCAGGGCTTTTAAGCCCAGCAAAGGCGATGACCCAGAAGGAGGAGGAGGCCGGGGCTCGGAGGTCCGGGCCGGGCCTGGCGGGGCAAAGGCTGCAGGGAAAGGGGAATAGAAGGAGGGTGCGCGAGCCCCGCCGGCCGGCCGGACACGCTCTCCCGCCGCGGGGCAGGAGAGAGAGCTGGTTGTCTTGGTGTCGGGGACAGGTGTCTCCGACACAGCGACGGACACTCGCCTCTAGGCCGAGGCCGAGCTGCTCCCGGAATGGCGACGAGTCGCCAAACAGCATCTCAAAGTACCCGGATGGACTATATATATAGTGGAGATGTTCGCGTGAAGCACTGTGGGAGATGTAGTTTTGCTTACATCCGGGTCCAGTGATTTTTTTTTCCCTCCCGCCCCCGCCCCCACTGAGAGGTCCTATGGGATTGTGGGACCTGTAGTTCCAGTCAAGTCGGCTTTTGTTCTTTGTGCGGTAATAACAGCGATGACACAGATGAACTTTAGACTACCTGTGGAATTCCTTTAAGGATTTCTTTCTATTTATGGTTCTTATTCTAGCATGATAAGCAAGTGCTCTACCACGGAGCTACACCCACCATGGATGAGTGAAATTTAAGGTGAATGAATGAATGAATCTCTAATTGTGCCCTTCCTGGCCCCTTACCAATCATCTCATGGTGTATGAGATATTAATCAGTACATATGAATAAATCACTTTCTTAGAATTAATAGTTCAAACTAGGAATAGGAAGATAGATTCAAGTATTATATTTTAAAATTTCCTTAAAATGCCTTCCACCAGTTCGTCCTGCTTCACTTTTTATAGTTAAACCTACCCCGCAACACATACACAAGAAGCACACACTCACAAATTATACTAAAGTAAGAAAATAACTATACACTGTTAGTCTGAAAATGTAATTTAATGTCCAGATGGAACAGTCCCAAGTCCTGATGTCCCTGCTTACATATAACTAGATGTGGAAGACACACTAAAATTCCTTGATGAATCTTTATTCCTTTAACAAGACATGAAAATTCTGAGTATATAGATGAGTTATTTTTTTTTATCATTCATAGAAACAAAAAAACAGGGAAAGAGAAATCCCAGTGTAGTAGGTGTCCATCTGTCAGGGTATATTAAATCAGGAAGAGACTTTTCATTTCAAAATAGTTTGTTAGTATCCTTGGTTTGGCAGTCTTGTGAAATATTTATAGGAAATATACATTTAAAAAGTAATCAAAGCAGAAAATACAGCAATTCAAGCAAAACTGAACCTCTAGCCTCTGTTTTGCACAGGTGGTCTACATTATCCTTTCCATTAAAAAAAAAACTAGGGTGGGGGATTTAACTCAGTCTGCCCTGCAAGCACAAGGACCTAAATTTGATCCCCAGTACCAAAAAAAAAAAAAAAAAAAAAAGCCAGGGGGGGGGCCCCGCCTGTAATCCCAGCATTTGGGGGGCTGAGGCAGGAGGATTGCTGCGAGTTTGAGACTAGCCTGGGTGACATAGTGAGTTCCAGGGCAGTCTCAACTACATAGTGAGACCCTGTCTCAAAAAACAAAACAAAAAACTGTCCGCCACCTACCTCGCAAGCTCAAAAACGTGAGTTCGATCCTGGGTACCAAATTAATTAATTAACTAAAAACCTGAAAATGTGGAGTTGAAGTAAAACTATCATGGTGTGCCAGATGGAGCTACAAATGTAGGTGTGTGTCATCAGGAGTCAAAGTGTGAGTGGTGTTTGGTTGGAGCGTCTAAATGGGTACCAGATCTTTCATTCCCATTTATGAAGTCCCTAGGTTCATAAAATGGACAGGCCAAAAAATAGTCTTTCCTATAGTTACGGCACTCAGGGCAGGCAGAACAAGGAAGAGAACATCCCTCAGAGAATTGAAAGGAAAGTCAGGTTTATTCGCTAGCGGGTTCAGTGGAAGTCACCTTCCAGATTCTGAGCCTAATTCTGTTTGTTTTCATTTATATATTGTTTCTTATGCAGGTGAGGAAGCAAGCAGAATTTTACAGAAGTAGAACTTAGCATAGGGATAGGGAGGTACAGGCAGATGTTACTTTTACAATTTATCTTTAAGACATAGGGAGGTATAGACAAGTGTTTTAGCAGTTCATCTCTCGGGAAGTGAGCTTTGTGAGTTTAGCAGGAGGGGCAAGCCTTGAGATCATCAGTCTCAGCCAAGCCCTGAGACTGTTAGTCTCTGTTTTGGCTTTTTTTTTTTTTTTCACTATGTTTATTTTCAGAGTAACCTGCCATACATTTCTCAAGAATGGGCTGCAAATCTCTTGCATCAGAACAAATCAGAGGAACTTGTTCAAATAAACATTTCTAAAAACCCCAAAATAGAAATTCTATGTCTAGCATGTTCAGTGCTCTGGTTCTATAGGGAGATTTTTAAATAAAGAAAAGAAGGAAGAAAGAAAACAGGAAAAAGGAAAAAAAAAGATTCCAGGGATATGGGGTATGTACCGTCTATGTGCCATACATGTACCAGATGTACTGATTTAAAATCTCTGGTAGTTGGTGCCCAGGAATTTTCTACATTTTACTCCCCACTAACCTCGATCGATACTGCGTATTCAACCGAGGGTCTCAGTCTTGCTAGGTAGAAATCTGCACTTTTTTTTTTTTTTGGAATTGAACTCAGGACTTTGCACTTTAAGAGGCAAGTGCAGAACCAGTGAGCTAAATCCCCAGCGTAGTCTGCACTTTATTTTTTTTAAAGCTGTTTTATTTATGGGCCAGGATTTAGCTCAGTGGTTCCGCCGCCTGCCTTGCAAGCACAGGGACCCGAGTTCATCCTCGGGGCCAAAAAAAAAAAAGCTGTCTTATTTATGATTATGAATTAATTAAATTTTGGTACCAGGGATCGAACTTGGGTCTTTCCGCTTGCAAGGCAGGCGGCAGAACCACTGAGCTACATCCCCAGCACTCAATTACTTTTAAAAAAGCATATAGTAATGAATGAATTTACTGTTATACTCAAAATCGTCATCTACATTTAAGATGAGAATCTTCGCCAATAGAAAAGTGCTGCTCCAAATCATGAATGATATTGCAAAGAATTGCAATCTCTTTGTTTTTTTCTTCTTGAAGACATTAAAGCTTCTCCAGCTGTGGTTTGTTATTTCATTTTGCTTTTCTTTTTCTTGAGTTATTAACTTTGTGTTTAACTCTGAAATTTCATCTCCTTTTTAATTGGATCTTTGTGATTTTCTTCGTTTAATTCAACTTTTTTCTGCATATCTTGATAAAGTTTGCTTTTTTCTGTCTTATGTTCTTCCTCTTTGATTTTTCATTTCATGTTCAAGTTTGCAATATTATTCTTATATTCCTTTCAAATTGTGTTGATATTCAATGGTCCTTTGTAGCCCTCTTATCATATCATGAAGAGCCGCACAATCTTTTCTATCTGTGAGAAATCCTTTATAAGTTTGTCAATATTCACACTGCTGATCTCGTAAAGTTTACTAGATTAATCATAGCGGTTTTTTTGTTTTGGTTTTGGTACCAGGGATTGAACTCAGGACCTTTCGCTCGTGAGGCAGGCAGCGGCACCACTGAGCTAAATCCTCGGCCTTGTAGTGTTTTGTTTGGTTTTGGTAACAAGGATCGAACTCAACCTTTTTTGTCTCCTTTGTCTTGGTGAATTCTAAATTCGATTCTGGGAGGGAGAGAGAGAGAGAGAGAGAGAAAGAGGAAGAGCTTTTGGGTTCAATGACTAGTCAGTCTGCAGATCCCAAAGAACTCAAGAATACAGGATTTTTTGGGCGCGTTCGGCTAATAATGTCTCTAGCGGGCCGCCGTAGTCTGTCTACTGCGGCAGCAGGATGATTTTTCGGCCCCCTATTACCTTACTGTGTCAAGATGGCGGCCCCCAGGAGCTGTGTTCTATGGAGCTATTGCGTCCGTAGGTGGTCGCGGTTGATGCGAACTGGTGGGCCCCAGTGGCTTCACAGTTCCTTGCCCGGGGGCTCGCTGGGTGTACGGCTCTTGTCCCGAGAGAAGCAAGCAACAGAAACACACTTCGGATTTGAGACTGTGTCGGAGGAAGAGAAGGGGGGTAAAGGTGAAAGGGGCGAGAGGGCGGATGAAGGGATCTTTGCATCTGTGATCTAATTTCTTCTGCCGAATTAAGGGCAAATTTGACGTACTTTGTTGTTATCTGCCCTCCAGACTTACAAGGAGCACCACCCCACCCCACCCCCAGTCCGGCAGAGTCAGGCGCTCTATCTTACTCCCTTCCAAACCTGGAACTGGGGATTGAACCCAGGGCCTTTCCACTGAGCTACAGTCGCCGACTTTTAAAAATTTTATTTTGAGACAGGGTCATGCTTAAGTCATGAAGTTGCTCAGGCGGTGCTGGAACTTGAGGTCCTCTGACTTCAGAAATGCGCCGCCACACCTGGCTACGCCCCTTTTAAAAATTTTTACGCCCCCTCTTTAAACTGAGAGTAATTGTCATTCAGATTCATCATATGACTGTTTGTGTTGTGGCATGCACTGTGTGGACATTTTTTCCAGTTCTCTTTTCAACTTCCCGATGGTGGATATTGTTGTCCCGATGTTAACAAATGAGGAAACTAAGCTTAAAAGGTTAAGCAAGACCTTGCCCAATTTAGCATAGCAAGTTGCAGAACCAGAATTCCAACCCAATTTGGTCTGACTCCAGAATACATATTCTTAGCCTCTTGCTAAGAGAGTCCATTTTTCTTTTTCTTTCTTTCTTTTTCTTTTCTTTCTTTATTTTATTTTATTTTATTTTTTGAGACGGGGGTCTCAATATGTAGGTGAGACTGACATGGAACTCAATATGTAGCCCAGGCTGGTCTTGAACTCACATTGATCCTCCTGCCTCAGCCTCCCTAGTGCTGGGATTACAGATGTGCGCCACCACGCTGGGCCCAAGAGGCCATTTTAAAAAGAAAGAAGGAAACTATCTTTTTTCCCCAGTTGGCCGAGTAGGAATAGTTTTTGTATTACTTACAGCTCTTGTTTTTTGGGGGGTTTTTGTTGTTGCTGTTGTTGTTTTTTACTACTGGGAAATGGACCTTGCGCTTGCGAGGCAGGCGGCAGAACCACTGGCCCATTACAGCTCTTGTATTAGTTCCACATATTGAAGTACCTTCAACATTTCCTGGTGCTTAGTGATGCACCATTAAAGTTAAATATTATTGAGCAGTTTGTGTCAGGAATGCTACAGGCATGGGAATGGAAGTGTTTTTAAACTTTAACTGTGCCATTTATAATGCAGAAGGTGAATACTCTGGTTTCTCTTCAGATTTTATAAATCGCCTTTTTTAATGAGGAAGGTGTACCCATTTTACACTTGGATAAGGTGAGAACCTGAGAGGTTCCTTCACTAGATTTAATGGTCACCAGGAAATAAGAAAAGAGCCTACCATGTAATTTCCCATCCTCTTAAAATCTATACTGTATAATCAGTGGGAAAATTGCAACTGTTCCAGGACTTTTAAAAATTATTATTTTTGTGGGGGGTGGTTTGAGACAGGGTCTCCTTATGTAGTTTAGGCTGGCCTTGAGCTCACTATGTACCCTAGGCTGGCCTCAGACTTGCAGTAATTCTCCTGCCTCAGCCTCCTTAATACTGGGATTACAGGCATGCACCACCATGGCTAGCCCTTTAAAAATTATTGAGCCTGAAGCTGGGCATGGTGGTGCATGCTGGTAATCCCAGCATATAGGGAGGCTGAGGCAGGAGGATCATGCATATTCAAGGCCAACCTGGGCTATATTGCCAAACAGTGACTCAAAAACAAAACAAAAATTATATATTTTTTTGTGGGGCAGGGATTATATTGGGGATCATACTCAAGATCTTGTGCTTTTGAGACAAGCAGTTTGGCTGAGCTAAATACCTCCCCCCAAAATTATTGACCATGGCAGCTAGATTGTAGTTTAGTGGTAGAACACTTGCCTAGCAACTGTGAGGCCCTGGGTTCTGTCTCCAGTACTGAAAACAAATAAATAAGCAAATGTATTTTTAAAAATATATAGTAGTAAACTGGTCATAATATCTCATTCCTGTAATCTCAGCGGTTGGGAGGGTAAGGTAGGAGTATTGCAGGAAGTTTGAGGCCAGCCTGGGCTACATAGTAAGTTCAAGGCTAGCCAGAACTACATAGTGAAACCCTGTCTCAAAAACCAAAAGAAGAAAAAAAATATATTTATGTATGTGTGTGTACATATGGTAAAGCTAATATTTAATATACTATAATTTAAAAATAGATTTAATTTTAACTGGTATAATTAAAATTTTAAAGATTTTTAAATTTAAATTTTTAATTAAAATGTAAAATACTGAAAAGAAAAGAAAATTGATTTCCTTTTTTTTTTTTTTTTTTTTTTTTTTTTTTTTACTGGGGTTCAAACTCAGGACCTTGTGCTTGTGAGGCAGGCGGCAGAACCACTGAGTTAAATCTCAGGCCCTTTTTGGTTTTTTTCTGAGACATGGCCTGGCTATGTAGTCAGGCTGGTCTTGGAACTCACTGTGTAGCCTAGGCTGGTCTCAAACTCATAGTGATCCTCTTGCCTCAGCTTCCTGGATTTATTTCTAAAAAATTTACCAAGGGTAGTTTGAATACTATTTGCTACCCTTATTTAATATAATTTACAATAAGGAGTGAATGTATTTTTTGTGCCATAATTCCTATCTAAAATTTTTGTCAGCCTTTAATATTTGATCTTTTGCCCTTTCAATATCATGAAATTACCAGGCTTGGTGACACATGCCTATAATCCCAGCCCTTTGGGAGGCTGAGCCAGAAGGGTTTCAAGTTTGAGCCTAGCTTGGGCAACTTAGTGAGATCCTATCTCAAACTAAAAAATAGGGCCAGGGATTTAGCTCAGTGACATATTGCCTGCCTTGCAAATGCAAGGTCCTGAGTTTGAGCCCCAGCGACAAGAAGAAAAAAAAAAAACCTAAAAAATTAAAAGGATGGGGGTATAGCTTAGTGTGAAGGCCATGGGTTCAATCCTAATACTGAAGTTAATTAACTAACTAACTAATTAAAAGGGATGGGAATGTTGCTCAGTGTGAAAGGCCTAGGTTCAATCCTCAGCCCTGAAACAAACAAACAAACAAACAAACCATCAAATACCCCTATACCAAGGTACTGGGGATTGAACCTAGGACTTCACACATGCTAGACCAGTACTCTAGCACTGTGCTACACATATTCAGTTCTTAGTTTTTGGTTGTTCAGGCATTTGGTTTGGTTTGGTTTTGGAGACAGGATCTCCCTGTGTAATTAAGGCTGGCCTCAAACTCACAGTGATCCTCCTTCCTCAGCCTGCTGAGTGCTGGGATCACAGATGTGCACCACCATGCCTGGTCCCAGTTATTTTTGTTTTGAGATGGGTTATGGATAAATTGCCTAGACTGGACTTTAATTTATAATCCTCCTGTCTCATCATCCTGAGTAGCTGAGGTTACGGGCATGTATTACCATGTCAGCTTTATGTGAATTTTTTGGCTGACATCACTCCACTGGGACATCTCGAACCTTTTTGTCATATCCATATTCCTCATTTGTGCCCATAAATTCACCCTCGCCAAGTTCCCCTGGCTGTGCATATCTGTAGTCTCTCCAAGAGAGGCATTGTCAGTATCCCATACTCGCTTGTTTCTCCTATAGTTCCATTGATTTTCAGTTCCAGTCTCACCTCCACCATTACCACAATTCATTTCTTTACTGCACATTCATTCTTGTTGCCCAATTTCCTGTCATTTTTGCAGGATTTCACTGAAGGACAAGGAGGCAACACAACTACAGTAACTGCTTGGAGGTCTGTATGTAAACCTAACAACTGATTCAGGGACTAGGCACCTACAGTGTGTGCGAGAAGTGATGTCACTGCAGGAGGCTTCTTTGTTACTACTGTAGAGATTCATGGACTGAAGAACTGCTAGTGAAGTTTGTACTTCATGTAAAGTTGGGGGACTGGCGATATTCAAGCCACAGTAACTGAAATTTATGCACGTTGGAATCTGCAAAGCAAGAACTGTTATACTCAGTGGTTTGAACCTTTGTGTCCCTGTTATCCCAAGAGATGTTCCAAAGAAAATAGCCAACTAGGAAACTTGAGTGGAGAATAAAATTTCAAAATACAATTAACGGGCCAGGATTTAGTTCAGTGATGCCTCCACCTGCCTTGAAAGTACAAGGTCCTGAATTCAATCCCTGGTACAAAAAAAATTTTTTTTCAATTAAAAGCCAGCCATGGTAATAGCTAGCAACTTGGGAGACTAGGGCAGAAGAATCCAATTTGAAACCAGCCTAAGCAATTTAGCAAGACCATGTCTGAAAAAAGGGGACAGATGCTTTTTAACTTAATGGTAGAGGGCTTGCCTAGCAAGCAGGAGATGCTGGGTTTAATTGTCAGTACCACAAAAAAGAAGAAAATAGTTTAGTGAAAGGAGTACTCTGTGGTCTGATTTGACAGAATACGTTTTACATTGTATGCAGCACATTTTATCCGAGGAATTCAAGACATCTCCCCTTCATTTTCTAATTCAGCCTATAGCCTGGCACGGTGGCACATGCCTGTTGTTCCTGAATTTGGGAGGCTGAGGCAGGAAGATTGCCAAAGTTTGAGGCCAGCCTGGGCTCCATAGTGAATTCAAGTTAAGCCTAGACTACAAAGCAAAAAACAACAAAAAGAAATAAAATATAACTTTAGGCAGTTTGTGTGGTTTTTTTTTTTTTTGCGGGGGGGACACGATTTTTTGAGATGAGGTCTCACTATCGTTCAGGCTTTACTTGAACTCACAGCGATCCTTCTGCTTTAGCTTTCTGAGTGCTGGGATTACAGATGTGCACCACCACACCCAGCTAAAATGTACCTTTAAAGGGAATGTGCTCTTATAAGTGTCCTCTCACAGCAGATTTTCCTGCTATCCCAGATCCCACATCTCCCCCCCATTTTTTTTGGGTACCAGGGATCAAACTTGGGACCTTGTGCTTTCAAGGTAGGCAGTGGAACCACTGAGCTAAATCCCGGCCCCTTCCCCTTTTTGTTATATTATGGATTGAACCACATTCTGTTTTGATCTTGTGGAAAAGATTCATGAGAGCCTTCTACAGTGTAACTTCGACCTGATTTACTGTTTGTCAACTATCTATCAAATTTTCCTGAGGTTCTCCGTAATGCATACAGAGATGAGATGAGGGGGTCTTCCTATCTCTATTAGTTATGTGTCTTTCTCATGGCTTTTGTCTTATATTATAATGACGATTAGAAAAATTCTAATTCCTGGGCTGGAGATATGGCCCAATGATAAAATTCTTGTTTTTCATGTCCGAGGCCCTGGGTTCAATCCCTAGCACCAGGAAAAAAAGAGAGAGAAAAGGAAAAGACCCCTTCACACACACACACACACACACACACACACACACACACACACACACTCCAGTATTCCATCCTCTAAGAAATAGAAAATAGAAATGTGTATTCAATTCTAAGGCTGAACTCAATCCTGGTTTGGCCTCTGGGATTACAGGTATACATTACCACACTGGCCTAGATGGAGAGCCTTATTTAAAGTAATAGTTCTAGCTGGGTGTGGTGGCACATGCCTGTAATCCCCGAACTCAGGAGGCTGAGGCAGGAGGATCGCCAGGAGTTCAAGGCCAGCCTGGACAGCATAGGGAGATCTTATCTCAAAAAACAAAAACAAACCAAAAAACAAAAACAGAAAAAGAAAATTTGAGGTCCTCTTGTCTCAGCCTCTCAAAGTGTTGGAACTACAGGCCTGTCCCACCATGCCCTGCTCTTCCTCTTTTTCATTTAGGCTTTTTTCAAGTGAATCTTTCTACTAATAGCATAATTGTGTATTTCTCCCATCAGTCTATCAGGTATTTGAAAGTGTGGCCAAGAAATATGATGTGATGAATGATATGATGAGTCTGGGCATCCATCGAATTTGGAAAGATATGCTGCTGTGGAAGATGAACCCATTACCTGGGACTCAGCTGCTCGATGTTGCTGGAGGCACCGGTAATGGCAAATTTGATGTCCTTAGGTACCGTGGAGCACCTTTTAGAGTGTTTATCTCTTGTTGGAACAAGCTAGTTCAACTATCATTAGACTGAAGATATGTATAATTTGTGAAGCAGGCACACAAAATTATCAATCAAAAGCAGCTTTGAGTGTGGGGATGTAGCTCACTGGTAGAGCATTTACCTAGTATGCATAAGGCCATAGGTTTGATCTCTAGCACCACGATATAAACAAATAAATAAAACAACCAGATTTTTGACTGCCTCTTCTTTATTTATTTATTTATTTATTTATTGTTTTGTTTTGTTTTGTTTTGAGAAGAGGTTTATGTAGTTCAGGCTGGTCGGACTCGCTATGTAGCCCAGCCTGGTCTCAAACTCATGATCTTCCTGTTTCAGCCTCCCAAGTGCTGGGATTACAGGCATGAGCCTCCATGCCTGGTTTGCCTACCTCTTTTCTACAGTAGATAGGATTATAAAGTAAAAGGACCAAGTTTTTACTTCAGTTACCATATTTTTAGGTGGTGGTGGTAGTGATGGCACTGGAGATTCAACACAGTGCCTCACGCATGCTAGGCGGTTGCTTTACCACTGCTACACTCCCGCCTGTTTCATCTTCTATTGAACCTTTAACCCACTCGCATTTTCTGATTGGAAGGGAAGCCTTTTATTACATAAGCTTTCTAGGCAGCCTTTTCCACCTAATCTGCTATCACATCAGGTATCAAAAGCTCAATTGTTTACACACAGTATTTTGTTGTTCCACACTGGGCATTTGGAGAGAAAAATGTCACAGATTTCTAAAATGCATGTTGGAGGGGAGAGGAAAGAGATATGAAAAGACTTAAAGTGTCTTATGTACATGTACCAACTTCCCACAATAAATGTAATCATTCTGTATTGCAAACATGAACTAACAAAATTTTTTAAAATTTTAAATGCATGGTGAAACTGGGTGTGGTGGTGCCCACTTACAGTCCTACCACTTGGTAAGCTGTGGCAGGAGGATTGTCAAGAATTCGAGGCCAGCCTGAACTATACAGCAAGATCCTATCTCAAAAGAACAAAAGGAAACAAAAAAGCTGGGCGTGGTGGCTCATGCCTATAATCCCAGCACTAGGGAGGCTGAGGTAGGGAGATTGCTGTGAGTTCGAGACCAACCTGGGCTACATAGTGAGTTCCAGGTCAGTCTCAACTACATAGTGAGACCCTGTCTCAAAAAAAACCTAAAAAAAAAAAAAAAATCTTAGAGGTTAAATGTTTCAAGAAAAGATTGCTAAAGAGTTTAAACTTCCATTTTCTTTCATTTAAAACATTTTTTATTTAATTTTTTTTTTTTTGAGGACTGGCACTTGAGCACAGGGCCTTTAACATACTAGGCAAGCATTCTGAGCTACACTCCAACCCAAAGTTCCATTTTCATACACTCATCCACTCCTACACCACTGTTGCTTTTGTGGGGGTTGGGTTTTTTGCTTTTTTTAGGGTCTCAGTATATAGTTCAGGCTGGCAATCATCCTGCCTCAGCATTTCAAGTGGTTGCTTCTTTGGGGGTTAGGAAATGTTTTTCCAGTTTTTGTCTTTGTTTGCATCTTTCTTCCTGTTGGCATCCCACAGGTGACATTGCATTCCGGTTCCTTAATTATGTTCAGGCACAGCATCAAAGAAAGCAGAAGAGGCAGTTAAGGGCCCAACAAAATTTATCCTGGGAGGAAATTGCCAAAAAGTATCAGAATGAAGAAGATCTCTTGGGTGGTTCCCGTGTCATGATCTGTGACATCAACAGGGAGATGCTAAAGGTGGGGAAGAAGAAGGCTTTGGACCAAGGACACAAAGCTGGTGAGTCCTCTGCAGTTAGAGGCAGTGGAAATAGTGTTTGTTTATAAATTAAGGTGGGTTACATGCTTTATACTCCAACTTTCAGAGGCTTATAGTTAGTGTGAGGGTGGAGAGGGAAAGGGGGGGAAGGAAAAGGAATTAACGTGTTACGTATGTGTACCAACTCCCTGCATGACTGTACATGACCATAATCATGTACTAATAAACTTTTTTTTATTTATTTTTTTGGTACCGGGGATCGAACTCTGGTCCTTGTACTTGCAAGGCAGGCAGCAGAACCACTGAGCTAAATCCCCGGCCCCTAATAAGCATTTTTTTTTCAGCTTTAATTGAGTTTATTGGTACATTTTAGGGATACAGTACAGTTACATTCATTGTTGGGATCTCGTACCTCCACATGACAAGTCTTGATTCTCATTTTTCCCCTTACCCCTTGCCCTCCCTTCACCCCCTCCTCCCCTCCCCATCTACAAATACTTTATTTCCATCTTTTCATTATCTTACATTTTTTTTCTAAGCATTTTTTTAAAAAAGATATTTATAGTTAGGCAGGAGTTGAAGATCATTTGTGTGGTCCAGTTCTGCTTTTGTTTTGGGGATTTTTTTGTTTATTTGTTTTTGGTGGGTTTTTGTTTTTTTGGGTTTTTTTTTGGCTTTTGTTTTCGTTTTTTCAGTACCAGAAATTGAACTGAGGGACTCAAGCTTGCCAGGCAGATGCTACACTTCTGAACTATACATTCCCAGCCCAATATTTATTTCGATTATGAGACAAGGTCTCACTCTGTAATTCACTCTGGCCTTGAACTCACTATGTAGCCCAGTCTGACCTTAAACTCGAGGCAATCCTCCTGCTTCAGCCTCCCAAGTGCTGGCACAGGCGTGCACCACCATGCCCAGCTTATGTGTTGTTAATACACATTATCTCAGCAACTTTGAGCTAAGTGAAGAGCCCACTGTGACTGAGGAGATAGTCGAAGCCCAAAGAAGTAAGGGTCTTACTCAAGTTACAGACCCATAAGCATCAGATCCCAAATTAGAGCTGAATCCATGGGTTTTCACTCTTGGACCCTGAGATGGAACTTTTGCTTTAAATTCCCAGCACCTCTGAGATACCCTCCACCTATGTTATTCCAGAGGATGACTGAGCTCTGCAGCTTCTAGAGCCTAAACATTTCCCAATCAGGACTCTTTTATTTGTTTGTCATACTTAGGATTGAACTACAGCCTCAGCCCTTTTTTATTTTTTATTTTGGAGGTAGAGTTGCACTAAATCACCAGATTGCTCGGGCTGGGTTTAGAGTTATAATTCTCCTGCCTCGGTCTCCTGTCAGGTGTGTGCTACCATAACCGGCTTCCAGGCAGGACTCATTTTACTTTAAACACTGTTACTTCACAAAGGGCTACATCCTCAGCCTGTTTTGTTTTTGTTTTTTGGTTTTTTTTTTGGTACCAGGGATCACACTCAGGACCTTGTACTTTTGAGGCAGGCGTCTGCACCACTGAGCTAAATCCCAGGGCCTTTTGTGGGTTTTTTTGTTTGTTTGTTTGTTTGTTTGTACTGGGTATTGAACTCCGCACCTTGTACTTGCGAGGCAGGTGGTTGTTTTATCTTTTTGAGATAGGGTCTTGCTATATAGTTCAGTCTGGTCTTAAACTCACTAGGTATCCCAGGCTGCCCTTGAACTCAAGATGATCCTCCCAAGTGCTGGGGTCAGAGGCATGCGCCACTACATCCAGCTGCCCCAGATGTTTTCAAGTTTGTTAAAGACTGTGAAAGCTGCATCTTGTTGACCAGCTCTCGGGGCTCTGCTGCACTGCCCTGTTCCAAGCTGGCTAGGCTCTGAGACAGCCTTAGGGTGGGGCATGGGTATGCAACAAAGAAAAGAAAGTCCCTGGGGTCAACATCAGCATTTCTTCCCTCTCCCTGACCACTGTGAGTGTCCAGGGTTGTTTGAGCTCAGTTCTTCCTCCTCTGCCTGCCCCGAGAGAGCTGCCTAGACGAAGTGCAACCCACTTGGTCCCCAAGATGAAGGACTCTTTTGTTAGCCATCAACACTAGTCAGATGGCAGAAGACAGTCACCAGTACTTTTAGACAAAGGCACTATGTTTTCTTACTCCTACTGACAAACATGTTTCCCTTCTCTCTGGTGCTCAGCCATAAAGAACAGAGAACACATGTTGAAATGATAGATAAAATTCCATTTCTGGAATCATAGCTTCCACTGTGAAGCTCTCTCTCAGACTTTCCTAACTGCCAAGGAATTATTAAGTGCTGAAAACCGTGGTACAAGTACAGTTGTTTTCTTTCCTTCTTGCTTTATCAGTCCCCAGTAATGTCTTTGCAAAAATTTATGCAAAAGGAAGTTAAAACTGGGAATGGTGGTGCATACCTGAAATCCCAGCTCTCTCTGAAATGAGACTTCAAGTTTAAGCTCAGCCTGGGCAACTTAGCAACTTAGTGAGACCCTGTGTCAGAGTAAAAAAATTTAAAAAGGAATGGAGATATAGCTTAGTGAGAAGGCCCTCAATTCAATCCCCAGTTGAATCTTTTTTTTTTTTTTTTTATTTAAGGAGATGGGTGATTTTAGGTGAATGGTGACAACCTCATAAAGGTCACAGTTAGCCTGAATTTGGGGGTGGTCCAGGCAGGACCTCCTGGAATAACTCCAAAGGAGAGTTGGAGTCCAGTTTTTGTTGTTGTTGTTGTAGTTGTTGTCTTTTAGAGAAACAAGGTCTTGCTATGTAGCCCAGGCTAGCCTTGAACTCCCAGCAATTCTCCTGCCTCAGCCTCCCAAATGCTGGGATTACAGCATTGCACCCCCTTGCCTGGCTTGAGTCCAGTTTATTGAGGCAGTCTTAGGTGGGGTGATAGAAAAATGGGAGAATGAGATTGGGGGAGCAAAATTGGCTGAGTATGTGGCTATAGCAACAGTTGCTATGATGTAGCCATTCGGGTGGGTATGTTTTGTCCTAGCAGAGTAGGCATTGTTCCCAATCTGGGAGAGGGCAGCACAGGATGTAGGAATGGGCTGTGATTATTCTCCATGCCTAGGAGTTCAACGGGACAGTTGGGGGTCAGAACTATCAGGTGATAGTGAGGGCTACACAGCATTACAAATGTACTTCAAACCACTGAACTGTACATTTAAAATTAGAGTGGGTGTGGTGGTACACACCTATAATCCCAGGATTTGGGGCCAGGTGTGGTGACACATGCCTATAATCCTTGCACTTGGGAGGCTGAGGCAGGAGGATCACTGTGAGTTCGAGACCAGCCTAGGCTACATGGTGAGTTCCAGGTCAGTCTCAACTACATAGTGAAACTCTGTCTCAATAAAACCAAAAAAAATAAAAATGGGCTGTCCATATAGCAAAGGTCTTGGGTTCCATCACCATTACTGTCTCCCAAAAAGGTTATGATGATAAATTCTATAAGTATTTTACCACAAGAAAAATAATAAATTAAAAAATAATTTATGAGAAATAACAAGGAAATTTGAGCCCTGGCTGGCTTTTTGGTGATAGTAAAAAATTATAAAATTTCTTTTCAGGAAGTCTCTTTTTTTTTTTTAATTTTTATTTTTTGAGACAGTTTCACTATGTAGTTCAGGCTGGCCTTGAACTCACTATGTAACCCAGGCTAGCCTCGAACTCATGGCAATCTTCCTGCCTCAGCCTCCTGAGTTTTGGCATTACAGCATATGCCACTATGCCTGGCTGCAGAATTTCTTAATATGATTGTGGGTTTTTTTTTCTTCTTTTGTTTTGGTACTGGGGATCTAACTTGGGACCTTGTGCTTGTGAGGCAGGCTGTGGCACCACTGAGCTAAATCCCTGGCCTGTGGTTATATTTTAAAAGATTTCTTTTGGGGGGCTGGGCATAGTGTCACAGGTCTGTAATCCCAGCAGTTTGAGAGACTGAGACAGAAGGATGGGATGTTGAAATATAGTCTGGGCAATTTAAAAATAAAGAGGGCTAATAAATAAATAAAATTAAAAGGGCTGGAGCTGGGCATGGTGGCACATGCCTGTAATCTCAGCACTCGGGAGGCTGAGACAGGAGGATCACTATGAGTTTGAGACCAACCTGGGCTACATAGTGAGTTCCAGGTCGGTCTCAACTCCATAGTGAGACCCTGTCTCAAAAAACCAAAAAGAAAAAAAAATTAAAACGGCTGGGTTGTAGCTGAGTGGTAGGTAGAGTAACAGGTCAAATCCAAAAATCACAAGAAAGGGGAGGAGGCGTCCTAATATTTTAAAGGTATCCACTGAAATATTATAAATGAAATTATATTTGTAGTTTGTTTCAAATTAATCTAATTAGAGTAGGGAGAGAAAGTAGGTGTGGGCTGATGAAATAAAATTGGCCTTGTGTTGACAATTACTAAGCCGAATGGTGGGTGAGCTTGTGGGGTACAGTAAGCTCATTCCCTCTAGTTGTATATTTGAAAATTGCAAAAGAAGACATTTAAAATGTATTTCAAAATGCAAATTGCCATAGAAGAAAGCCAGAAAAGAACTGATTGTTTCAGAACTGTACCAACTCCAAATATAAAGTCTTGCCTCATTCAGAAATATGCTAGCCACCTGCTGGCCGCAGTGGGAGAGCCAGGGGACTGCCTGCCACGACAAAGTAAGGTGCAGTCCTGTCTTAAATGACACCGCCGGGCGTGCTAGGTGCTTTGCACACAGATAACTCGTTTACTTCTGTGATGACCTGATGAGATTGGCATGATTGTTGCATGATTTTACAAGCGGAAGAACTGGAGTTCCGACAGACCACTCACACGCTAGGCAGCAGGGCAGGCCTCCAGCCATTTGTCTTGGCCCTGGGTCCCTCCTTTTTATTTTCAGTGGTAGCGATGGAACCTGCTAGGCCCTAGAAATTATTTTGTAAAAGCATTTTTCATGTCTGGTGCTGTATTTTATACACACACACACACACACACACACACACACACACACAAACGTATATATGTTTTGGTTTTTTGCTGCTAGGGGTGGAGCCCACCTCTGGTGCTGTATTTTATACACACACACACACACACACACACAAACGTATATATGTTTTGGTTTTTTGCTGCTAGGGGTGGAGCCCACAGTCTCGTATACCCAGGCAAGCAGTGTACCACAGCTACACTCCCAGCCCTTATTTGTATTTTATTTTATTATGTTTTCCAGTTGTCTATGGCCTTTAATTAACATCTAAGTAATTAACATATCTTCTAATAGAGGAATCTCTATGAACAAAAATAGATACTGTTTTTGGCAAAGAATGCTATAGATGAAGTCATCTTGAGCTTTAGGCACAGCATCTACACAGCCAGGGCTGGATCAGTGTTTGGGGACAGAGGTAAATATCTATAGTCTGTGCATCCCTTTGATTCCTTCTTTTATTTATTTATCCCCCCACCTACTGAGAATCAAACTCAGGACCCTGCATTGCCAGGCATGCATGGTGCCACTGAACTAAATCCCCAACCCCTGATTTCTTCTTTTAGTACCTGATTAACCATCTAGTGGTGCTGGACAGTTCTCTTCACCTTAAATTCTTCTGATTTGATTTTAATTTTATTTATTTACTTGTTTTTTATTTTATTTATTTATTTTGGTACTGGGGATCGAACTCAGGTCCTTGCACTTGCACCACTGAGCTAAATCCCTGGCCCTTGATACCAGTTTTATATGTGGCTCTGCAGACTCCTGAAATGTCAGTGACCTTGATAGCTGTAGCCCAAGGAAACTGGGTCTCCAAGAGCCTGAGTCACTTTGAGCTCCCCGCCACCTGGGACGTGAATGGGTGACACAGTAGAGAACAGGAAGCCTGTGGCTCTGGCAGAGCAGAGGTGCCCTACAGCCAGGCTCCATACCCCATGCCCAGCCAGTGTGGCCCACTGCCTGAGGATGCCATCTTTTTTGTTTTCTTAAGTCTTGCTTTATAGTTCAGGCTGGGCTTGAACTCACTATGTAGCCCAGGCTGGCCTCAAACTCATGGCAATCCTCCTGCCTCAGCCTCCTGAGTGCTGAGATTACGTGCGCCACCACATCTGGCACTAGTTTGTATTTTGAAAGATTATTTTCATTTTCTTAGTGACCATTCTCTGGCCTCCTCTTCCAAGGAAAGTAAATTTTAAATGATCAGTCTTTTTTCTTGCTGTATTGTTTCTACTTTCTTCAGCCTTTATCTGTTTATAAACCCAACCTGCTAGGCTGGGGATGTAGCTCAGTGGTAGAGCACTTGTCCACTATTACCAAGATCCTGGATTCCATTGCCAGCACCTCAAAAAAAAAAAAAAAAAAGGAAAAAGAAAGAGAAGAAGTAGGAGAAGTAGGAGAAGAAGGAGAAGGAGGAGGAAGAGGAAGAAAGGAAGAGAGGAAGGAGCTCCTATGTCTGGCCCATCAAAACACTTTACTTTGCCAGGGATGGAGACCCATGCTTATAATTGCAGTGTTCTGGGAGGCTGAAGCAGGAGGATTGCAGGTTTGAGCCCAGCCTAGACAACTTAGTGATTTAGCCAGAACTTGTCTCCAAATTAAAAAATAAGAATTTTTAAAAGGCTTGGGAACTGGGCATGGAGCACACCTGTAATCCCAGTACTTGAAAGGCTGAAGCAGGAGGATTCTCATGAGTTTGAGGCTCGCCTTGGCTACATAGTGGGTTCATTACCAGCCTGAATTATAAAGACCCTGTCTACAAAAAAGGCCTGGAGATGGAGTAGCTCAGTGCAGAGGCCCTGGGATAAATCTACAGTACCACAAGAAATAAAATAAAATATGAAATTAGTATTATAACACAGGCAGTTCTAACCATAGTGCCTGCACTCCTAATCACAGCGCTCTCCACAAAACACTTGGCTGGATGAAAATCACTTGAGGGTGGGACTGATTATACATCTTAGTGATAAAGTGCTTACCTAGCATGCCTTACCTTACCAAGACTCTGGGTTTGAACCCCCGCATCGAAATAAAAGAGGGTGAGGGTGGGTAAACGAAGCAGTGATCAGATTGTACTGTAAGGCCCTTGGAGGGAAGGCTGAGAAGGATAAACTTCAAGGGTACCAACTCCAGGCTCTCAGGATCAGAGGGCATCATGAAGACGGTCACCAGGAACTGAGTGGATAAGGTAGGTATGTTTTCTGACACCAAGTACGTGGTGTTTTCCCAGCGCAAAACAATTTTCCAACAGTAGGTTGGTTCTCAGCTGCTTACTTCATTTCTGATACTACCCAGATTTTACATCATTTTCTACAGGTTTAAGGGCTCAGTCCCACAAAACTGCCTCCACTTCAGATGGCAGACATAAACTGGGTGCCATGGCTACTCATATTTCTGCCTCCCCAACTACAAATTCTTTTGGTTCAGTAATCTGGGTGTAGCCAGGAGTGATGGCGCACACCAGTAATTCCAGCACTTGGGACTTGGGGGGGCTGAGGCAGAAGGATCGCTGAGTACGAGGCCAGCCTGGGCTACAATAGTGAATTCAAGATCAGCCTAAACTACCTAGTGATACCCTGCCTCAATAATAATGGTAGTAGTAGTAAGAGTAAGAGTAACAGTAATTTTCTGCAAGGAAGACAGCTACCTGAGCTGAAACTCAGAACTGATTTTCTCTTCCAGGACTTGCATGGGTACTGGGAGATGCTGAAGAGCTGCCCTTTGATGATCACAAGTTTGATGTTTACACCATTGCCTTTGGGATCCGGAATGTCACACACATTGACCAGGTGTGAATGGCTACCTGCTCAGGCATACGACTTTCAGGACACCAGTTCTCTTGGAGTAGATCCATAGTGAAGCAGGACAGGAGATTCTTCCCTGGGCTTGGCACTTAGTAGAGTGACTATTTTAAGAATAGGGGCTTCTTACATTTGATCTTCGTCAAAAGGCCGAGAAGCGATAGGGGCTTCTTTTAAATTGCCAGTTTTCCTAGTTACAAAACTGAAAAGGACCAAAATCACAGAGCAGCTCCTGATGGAAGTCTTGGTTGCTTGGGTTGGCATTTACATATTTGGGGCAGTTAGCCTTGCACTGGCATTTCATCTCCTTCCTCTCACTTGGGAAGCTCTCTGTCACCTTGAGGGAGATCAGAGCATGATCTGAGGCAGGCACAGAAAAGGTACTCAGATGCTATTTTGGTAGAAGATAGATCATAGTTCATCTACCAGGGAAAGGCAATGTTCATTCTGTAATCCCATTCAGCTTCCCCCTTTTTTTTTTCTTTTTTTGCTTTTTGATTCAGTTCTTCTTTATTTCTATATAAACAGTTCTGTACAAAAGATTTGAAAATCAAGCTGGGCATGATGGCACAAGCCTGTGAGCCCTATACTCAGGAGGCTGAGGCAGGATAGCCACGAGTTCAAGGCTAACCTGGTCTGCATAGTGAGTTCGAGGTCAGCATGGACTGTATAACAAGACCCTGTCTCCAAAAAAAAAAAACAATTGAAAATCGTGTGTAAGGTAACAGATTTCATATCTGTAATATGGTCTCCAGTTGTCTAGCTTTTCTGCTTTGGATGAACATTCTTTAAGGTACTTGCCATAGCAGTATAATACAAATGTAGTAAAGTATATAAAAGTATATAATACATATTAAATATATTACATTAATATATAAACATTTAATATGGGTATTCCCCGAAGGTCCATGTGTTAAAGACTTGTTCCTCAGGGTGGTGCTGTTGAGAAGTGCTGTGAACTACATAGTAAGACCCTGTCTCAAACCCCTTCCCCCTAAAAAAATAGTTACATGCAGCAGAATGCCTATAACATTTAGGATACATTGGCTTGTTTTTTGCCGTTACAGCTTCCCAACTGACAATAAACAAGGGATTTGTGGGAAATCATGTTTCTAATGCCCGCAGTAGCTAATGTTCTCTCAGCCTCATGAATTTGAGTGTGGTTTGCTGAGGAATCTGTCCTGTTATCCTTGTCTCTTTCAGGCACTCCAAGAAGCTCATCGGGTCCTGAAGCCTGGCGGAAGGTTTCTGTGTCTGGAGTTTAGCAAAGTAAACAATCCCCTCATTTCCAGGTTGGCACTGATAACGGGACCTTTTCCTCATTGACTAACCATTAGTTCAAGGTCCTAGAGGCTGGGAAGAACATTCCCACCCTAGAGGTCAGTTAGCTCTGAGGGATAGTACTTAGGCTGGAAGACTCTCAAACCAGGAACCCAAGGCCTAACTTCGACAACATTTTGTTTGTTTGTTTTTGGTATCAGGGATTGAACTCAGGACCTTGTACTTGTGGGGGCAGGCAGTGGAACCACTGAGCAAAAGCCCTGGCCCCAACAATATTTTGTATTTTATTTACTCATCTAGTATTTTAAGAAATTGATTTAAAGGATCAAGGGTGTAACTAAGGGATAGAGTGCTTGCCTAGCTTGCACAAAGTTCTGGGGTTCAATCCCCAGCACCACTAAGGAAGGGAGGGAGAGAGGGAGGGAGGGAAAAGAAAAGAAATTGATTTATTTTTATTATTATTATTATTTTTGGTACTGGGGATCAAACTCAGGTCCTTGTGCTTGCAAGGCAGGTGCCGGAACCACTGGGCTAAATCCCCAGCCCATAGAAACTGTTTTTTTTTGTTTGTTTGTTTTAATGATAACAAGGTTTATTAAAGATAGGAAAAGAAACAGGCTCTGCAGAGCAAGTTTGGGCCAAGTAAAAGTAGGAAAAGAAGTACATCCTATAGTGTGCGGGTGGGCCACCATACAGGAAAGAACAGTGGCCAAAAAATTCACTTAAAATTGGAAAATTTTATATAAAAATCTGAATTTCCAGCCAGGCATGATGGTACACACCTGTAATCCTAGCACTCAAGGAGTCTGAGGCAGGAGAATTGCCACAAGTTCAAGGCCATCCTGGACTACACAGTGAGTTCAAGGCCAGCCTGAATTACAGAGCAAGACCCTGTTGCCAAAAAAAAAATCTGGATTTCCAGCTTGAAAAGTCAGATATATGGTAACCCTGAGTAGGCCCAGATTCTCATGTGCAGTTGTCAGAGTGCGGTAGTGACTGCCTCTTCTCCAGTGCCTTTTCTGGAACTTCCTGACTGTACCTGTCACCATACATCTTGGTTTTGCAACTAGACACTTCCTTTAGTTGAGGTATTTGTTTGTGACCCTGAGTTTAGACCTTCTTGATTTTTTTTGGGGGGGTACCAGGGATTGAACTCGGGTCCTTGTGCTTACAAGGCAGGCCACCAAACCACTGAGCTGAATCCCCGGATCCCTTTTTGATTTTTTTTTTCTTTTTTGGGGGGGGATTTTGAGGCAGGGTCTCACTGTTTCGTCCAGGCTGACCTGCAACTTAACTATGTAACCCAGGCTACCCTTGACCTCTCAGCAATCCTTCTGCCTAAGCCTCGACCTCCTGGCTGCTGGGATTATAGGTGTGCGCCACCATGCCCGGCTTTCTTGCTTTTTTTTTTTTTTTTTTTTTTTTTTTGTACTGGGGATCAAACTTGGGCCCTTGCACTTGTTAGGCAGGCACTGGAACCACTGAGCTAAATCCCCAGCCCTTCTTGCTTCTTATTGAGGGAAGAATTCAGGACATATTGTTTTTTCTTTTTTGGGAATGAACCCAGGACATGTTTTAGTCTTAATCTTTTTCCTTTTTTGTTGCTTATTTGCTTAGGCTTTATGATCTATATAGCTTCCAGGTCATTCCTGTCCTAGGAGAGGTCATTGCAGGAGACTGGAAGTCCTATCAATACCTTGTGGAGAGTATCCGGAAGTTCCCATCTCAGGTACAATATTTCTGTAGCTCAACAAAGACCTTAAAGTTGAAATCCAGGTAATCCTTGTATCTTTCCTTGTGTTTTAGGAAGAGTTCAAGGAGATGATAGAAGATGCAGGTTTTCAGAAGGTGACTTATGAAAGTCTTACTTCGGGCATTGTGGCCATTCATTCTGGCTTCAAACTTTAGCTCCTTTTCCTATCCTGGAGAGAGAGCCAGTCATATATTGTTGAAAGCCTGGAACCGAAGGATAATCTGGCTGATGAGACAGCAGCTGAGCATCTCCTATTAAGGATATGAACCATGGGCTCCTGTTCCAAAGCAACCAGAGAAAGAGAAACAAATTCCTGTCTTTTTTCTTTTTTGTAACTTTCTTTAGAAGCTGCTCAGACCTTTTCTCAGAGGTATTTGGGGTTTTTTTTGTTATTTTGTATTCCCTCAACTCCTAACTTTTTTGGCTATGCACTGTGGGATTCGGGTAAGAGCAGCATTAAGCACTGATACACATTTTGTGTGTGTGTGTGTGTGTTTTCTCTGGTGCCGGGGATCAAACTCAGGACCTTGTGCTTGCTAGGCAGGTGCAGTGCTGCTGAGTTATGTCCCCAGCCCTAACACAGAGTTTTGAAGTACAGTATATTTGTTGCTAGTGGTGCTGCCTTCCAGCAGGATGAGTCATTGGAACCCAGTGATGACTTACCTGAACCTGAGTCAAACTTTTGGCCTGGTCTGCGGCTTGAAAGCCAAGGTCCAAGTCAGAGGTCTAACAGTCAACACTAGAATTGTAGGCTGGGGAATAGCTCACATTTGTTTGTTTAAAATACAAGAGATCCTGGGTTCAATCTTCAGTGAGCCCACACACACACACACACACCCTAGAAGTATACACTGAACCAATAAATGAGTTTACAATTTCAATGGTATTTGTCATTGCTTCCTTTTATTTTAATAAATTTTATTTATTTTATCCTCTTTACCCCCCAAACCCCTTTCCTGCTTTTTTAGAGGTTAAAGGAAAAAAAATTTTTTTTATGGGGATGTAACTCAAATCCAGGGTCTCTCATAACCACTGTACCACTGAGCTACTTCCTTGGCCTCAAAATACAGTGTTTTATTTTTTGGTTTTTTTTAATTTTTATTTTTTTGGTACCAGGATTGAACTCAGGACGTTGCACTTGGAAGGGAGGCAGCAGCACCACTGAGTTAAATCCCCAGCTCCAAATAGTTTTTCATCATTTTTTTTAGTACTCCTTGATCAAAGGCTAGTATTTTGTCCTCAGTGGCAGTGATAAACTCAGTAAAAAAATCCTTGTTTATAAAATAAATATACCAGAAAACCCCTGCTTTCATGTTAAGAAAGAAAGAAAAATGAAGGAAGGAGGGAAGGGGAGAAAATATTGATAAAATCTAATTCCCTCCAGTAATCAGAAATGGATCTGGGCAGAGCTCATTTTCTTTTTTTGTTGTTTTTACTTTTATTTTGTGGTGCTAAGGATTGATCCCAGAATCTTTGCACTGAGCTATGTCCGCCATTTTTTATTTTTGAGATAGGGTCTGCTAAGTCACTAAATTGCCTAGGCTTGGCTTTAGTTTGATGATCCTTATGCCTCTGTCTCCCAGAGATCCTGGATTACAGGTGTGCACCACTACACGTGACTTTTCTCTCACTTTTATTTTTTATTTTTGGTACTGGGGATTGAACCTTGCACTTGCAAGGCAGGCGGTGGAACCACTGAGCTAAATCCCTGGCCTCTCTTTTTTTTTAGATAGTCTTGTTAAATTGCCTAGGCTGGGCTTAAACTTAGAATCCTCCTGCCTCAAACCTGTCATTGTCTCCTTAGTACAGTTGACTTTAATATTAAAAGAAGCCATAGGCCAGACATGGTGGTGCATACCTGTAACCCCAGCACTTGGGAGACTGAGGCAGGATCATTGCAAATTCGTAGCCAGACTGGGCTACACAATGAGTTCAAGTTGAACCTGAACTACACGGACCCTGTCTCAAAAAAAACCATAAATGTTTTGAGTATGAAGTTTAAGGTTAAGGGGCCTTGCTAAGAAATCAATCTGTGATTTGGCTAGCAGAACCTAGCTCAAGGCTATTTGAAAGTGATTCAGATACAATTATTGGCCCAGCACAGTAAGGATCATTTATGTATCTATAAATTCTTGCCCTATCACTAAATAGCTCCCAGATACAGCTAGCTGTGTACAACTGTCTCAGAGAAGAGCAGCTAAGGACGTTTGAGAAAATGCTAAACTTTAGAAGAACTTTTAGCTTACATTTTTTTCTTTTTTTTAGTGCTGGGGATTGAAGTTGGGCCCTTGCGAGGCAGGTGCCAGAACCACTGAACTAAATCCCAGCCCCCAGCTTATTGGCTTTTGAAACTAACAGGAAAGAGCAGGCACTGAAAGGAACTTCATAAGCCATAAACCAAGTCTTATCTCCATAGCAACGTGGTTTTCTCACATCTGAATAAAAAAAAGCTGCCAACTTCCTAATAGTAGATATGGACCAAATCAAATTAGAACCCCTAATGTCCAGCTGTATGGTCTTGAACAGCTTTAGGATCTGTTGCTGGAAAAAGATCATCTGTTTAAAGCAGGGCTAACTGGAAAAGAGATAGCTTTGGCTGACAAATTCCTCCTTGGGCTTTTTACATACATACAAATTAAATCACCCCAGTGGCATCTTTTTTGAAGCAATACCAGGGGAAAACACCTGTTTGGGTTAGGGATGTAGCTCAAGGTGGAAGGCTTGACTAACAAGCCTGAGGCCCTGGCTTGATCCCCAGCAGCACCAAGAAAAGAAAAAGAGAAACAAAAAGCCCTGTTGTTTTAACTGCCATAATAAATAGTAAAACAAATGTTTGTACTCCTAACCTGAAAGTCTACCAGTCCTGATGTAGTACTTCACTAGTACCTCTAAAACCCAAATTCCAGCCAGGCGTGGTGGTATACACCTATAATCTCCAGCACTTGGAAGGCTGAGGCAGGAGGATCACCATGAGTTTGAGACCAATTTGGGCTACACAGTGAGTTCAAGGCCATCCTGAATTGAGACCTGTCTCTAAATAATAAAACCCCCAAATTCTGGTAAAGAAAGAAACTTTCAGAGATGTTGCTTTCATCATGTTACTGCTGCTGGTCACCCTACCAATTCAAATCCTTGCCTCCTGCACAGCAGTAGCCTGGCTGCTGAGAAATCTCAACTTCCTGTGACAATAATGTAGAGAAACTAAGAAGGGTCCTTGGATTTTCCCAAAATAAGTGTGTGTTATCTCAGCCTGTGGCATATTTCTTTTACCTACAAAAGCTAAGTTTCAGCCAGGTGTGGTGGCACATGGATGGTGCATGCCTATAGCCCCAGCTACTCAGAAGACCAGCCTGGTTAAGTGAGACCACCTCAAAAACAGAAACAAAATATTGTTTTTTAAAGGATGGGGACTGGGCGTGGTGAAGCATGCCTATAATCTCAGTATTTGGAAGGCTGAGGCAGGAGAATTGCCAGGAGTTGAAGGCCAGTCTGGGCTACATAGTTCAAAACCAGCCTTAGCAACATAGAAACTGTCTCAAAAAATAAGGCTGAGGATGTAATTTAGTGGTAGAACAATTGCCTAGCACATGATCCTCTAAATCCCCAGTACTGAAGGAAAAAAGAAAACCTAAACCTTCATCTCCCATACTTGCTTTTCTTCATAAAACTTGACAGCAGAAATCCTTTTGGTAGTTACTTATTCAATTTATTTTGGTTCTTTAATGAAAAAACTTCAATTCACACTTTAAAACTTTAAATTCCTACAAACTTCATTACAGTGAGCCAGGGATTTAGCTCAGTGGTTCCACTGTCTGCCTCAAAAGCACAAGGTCCAGGAGTTCAACCCCGGTACCAAAAAAGCTGCTTGCAGAAGCATGTACTTTCCCTCAAAACTTTTTTTTTTGTTATAAGGGATCGAACTTAGGACCTTGCCCTGGCGAAGCAGGTGGCAGCACCACTGAGCCACATCTCTCACAATTTTTAGTGCCGTTAAGATCACCTTCCAAGTCAGGAAAGGTGGCACACACTTGTAACCCAGAACCATGGGAGGCTGAGGCAAAAGGATCTCATTTGAGCCCAGCCTGGACAATTTAGCGACATAATGAGACCCTGTCTCAAAATTAAAAAGGACCCAGGATGTTCCTCAGTGGGAAGACCCTGGGTTCAATGCCCAGTATGGCAAAAAATAAAAACCCTTTTCATCTTTTTTTTGGGGGGACAGTCTTGCTATGTAGCTCAGGCTGGACTCACACAGAAATCCTCCTGCCTCAGCCTCTCAAGTGCTGAACTAGAGGGATGTGCCATCATGTTAACGTGCACTTTTTTTGATAGATGAGATTTAAGACTGAGTACCAAAATGGCTAGTTCCAGAAAGTTAACTGAGAATTCATCCCCACCAACCCAATGAATTCATAGACCACCTTCAACCCTGTTATTTGAAAATATTGTAGTTCACACACATATACATTGCCAACAGATTTATTTTTTAAAGGAATGGGCCATTAAGAGAAAAAACACATGGGGCACAGAAGTATGGAATAGAAAATAAATACAAATGTAAGCTGTTTTGCTAAATGTTTTATAATCACAACAAACTAGTACAGAGAATGCCCTGTACACAACAACAAAAAAAAAATTGAAAATATTGTAGTTCACACACATATACATTGCCAACAGATTTATTTTTTAAAGGAATGGGCCATTAAGAGAAAAAACACATGGGGCACAGAAGTATGGAATAGAAAATAAATACAAATGTAAGCTGTTTTGCTAAATGTTTTATAATCACAACAAACTAGTACAGAGAATGCCCTGTACACAACAACAAAAAAAAAAAGGTTCAAAGATCAAGGTGTTCCCTTAGCAAGGCTGAAGATTTCAGTCTCTGTATTTGGAATTTAGGCTGCAGTCCTTGGTTTTGGATGGATCACTGGGTGTGTGGCACAGTCCATGCTTTTAACCAGATTTGAACAGAAGAATGGCCACTTGGCCCAGGTAGAAGTAGATGAAGTGTTTGGTTTCATGCGTCACATAACTACCGAAGTTTCTTCCCACAATGCAGTGCCAAGTGGGGTTGTACTTCTTGTCAAACTCCTGGGGGGGGGGAGAAATTTGATTTTTAGTGCTAAACTAGAAGACTTCACTTCCTGGATAAGCCAGAGCCCTGTAGGAGCAGTAGAGGAACACTGGCATCTGCAAATTCTTTGAATGAAAGAATGTTCCCCAGTGCCAAGTCGCCTACACAGTGCATTAATGCAAATATACTTGCAGTCTTTGCTAAGATGGGAATGGGGGCTGAAGAGGGAGGCCAGCCTTTAAAGATAGGGTGATTTGTTAGAATAATAATTTTAACTTCATGCTTTCTCCATCTATCTATTTTTGGTACAGGGGAGCAAACTTGCTTGAAAGGCAGGTTAAGGGACTACTGAGCTAAGTCCCCGGCCCTGCTTTCTATATTCTTAATTTATTGACAGGAGGTGACATCAAAAGTTGTATATTATATTCTTCCATAAGTAAACAATCCTCCCCACTACATTTACCATGCATTCAACTCCCCCCAAAATGGTAACAGTGTATTTATTGCTCATCAGGAAGATCTTAACTGCAATCCTGTAAACAGGATTTCCAAAACAACTGCTTTAGCTGGGCACAGTGCATATACCCATAATCCCAAGCATTCTGGAAGGCATCAGAATTGCAAGTTTAAGCCTAGGCAGGGGTAGACCCTGTCTCAAAATAGAAAATGGGCTAGAGATGTGAAGCAGAGCAATGATCCTGGGTTCAATCCCCGTTGTGTATGGGGGCTTTCATTAGCATCTAAACAACTGCTAGTCAAAATTTAGATTTAGGATGGGGATGTAGCTTAATGGTGGGGCAGGCCCTGGTTTCATCCCCTGCCCTGTAAAACACAAAAATTTTGATTTAAGGGAACAAGACCCTTAAACAGGCCACTCTTCCCTATATAAAAAGACTGTTGGAGCAGAATCTGCCAGCTAACTGGCCAAACTTTATCCCTAATTATAATTTAAATATTCCTTCCCTCCTCTCCATATCGGTGGTGCTGACCTACTACCTGGTCATCAAAGTCATGTTTCAGGAACATCTCTTTCCTCTTTCTCCACCCCAGCGAGCGTGGGGCCTAGAAAATCTGTGTTAATTTCTTCCCTAGGTGAATGACTGTAAGAGGCCAAAGATAATATTTATATAAAATTCTTAAATTCCTTGTGGCGATCTAACAAAATTTGGCTACTCTTAGCTCTCATATTACAGTGTGAAAACTTCTTTTAGTATATTAAAAAGAATGTAATTCTTACTGGCTCGATATACACACAGCTGCGTATGTCAAAAAAGGTATAGATTTCTGTCTCATCTTGTCTTCTATCTTCATGTTCACCATTGTAACCCTCCAATGGCTTAGACTTCCCTTTCAGAAGACAGCTCAAGAAGTTGGCTGCCCTGCCAAGCATTCTACAAACTGCCATTAACCAAGCCCCCACCCCAGCCTCAACCACCACGACCCCTGACTTTCCCTTAACTGTGGACCAGCTCCCCAGGGGAAGGCTGGCAAGATTTCTCTCTGGGCCGGCTGGAAACACCCACGCAGCTCCCCCCTCAGGAACACCCAGATGGATCCTCGGCGCAGGAATCCTACAGGAGGGGGAACTGCGCACAGCTCCCTGATCTTGGAAACGGTTGCTAGGTGGCGCTTTCCCCCGTGGAGCTGTGTAATTACCAACCAAAAAAAAAAAAAAAAACTTCGGCCTCCGAGGGTCTGGTCTTCCTCATAGCAGCGCACATTCATTTGTGTTCTTTCTGGAAACCTCTGTGCCCCGTGCCACCCTCGTGTCCCCAGGATCTCTGCTGAGCGCCTTAAGGGTACAGGATGGGGAGAAGGAACTAAGCTGTGTCTCCCGCCCTGTCCTCACCTTCTTGATGTGGGCCGCAATGTCCTTTTCTATATTATATTTTTCCAGCGCCTGAGTAGCGCACTCCACCGAATCCTGTTGCATCTCTTCTGACATGTCCGCATTTTTGATCACCGCCTTTCGGTCGCACATGGTCACCTAAGGGGCGAGGCCCGAACTATCAGTTAGTGGTTGGAGTGTGGACCGCGCCTCCGAGACGCCGGCTCCCCACCTCCGGGTCTGGGCCACCCCGGACGACGCCCCCGACCCCCGTTTCTCAGGAAACGCGAGTCCCGCTGACCGAACACAGGTAAAATTCCAGAGGGTCGGAAGCGAACCCAGGTAGGAGGACCCCCCCCCCCCAGTCTCTCACCGTGGAGCAGCGGGTGGCTGACTGCAACGGACTCCTAGGGCAGGTGCCGACAGCTCTTAGGACTGGAGGGAGATGCGGTAGCTACCGAAGCCGTGGCGCATCTAAATAGCCCCACGCCAGCCGCCGCCGCCTAGTGCTTAGGCCCCGCCCCGCGTCCGTAGGCCCCGCCCACGACGCACGTCCCTATTGGCTTAGCTCAGACATCAGACTCTTTCTACTGGTCCACGGATTCAATGGTTCCCTCTGGAATTTTCTCCTGCATTTTGTTGCAGACCACAATGCACCGCTCACGGCGTCGGTTGCCCCGGCAATGGGCTCTGCGGCTGAGGCCCACACACCCAGAAGGTGGAGTCGGGGCTGGGTCTCAAGGACCACCCATCTGTTTAGTAAAGGTGAAAGGGGAATCTTCTGCCGGAACCTAGGAAAGCCATTCCAAATCCGCCGATATTCGCTCAGGGTGTGCTCAAACGACAGCCTCTAGAAGTTGGGTGGCTACCCCTCCTTCCGCGTACCTCCTACTCCAGCACAGAAGGATTTACGAGGTTTTTTGTTGTTGTTGTTGTTTGGTACCGGGGATTGAAGATTTACGAGTTTTGACTGAAACTAGTCAACGAAAGGGTATCTCTGGAGCAGGGTCGGCTTCTAGGGCACCCCACCAGTGCAGTCAGTCGTACAAGGGGACTCCTAGCTCAGTCTCGATTTTTTTTTTTTTTTTTTTTTTTTTGAGAGGGGATCTCCCAAAATTGCTCAGTCTGGGCTGAAATTCGCGATCCTTCTGCCTCCGCCTCCGGATTAGCTAGGATTACAGATGTGCAACACGACCCAGGCAGAATTTTTTTTTCTTTCTCGGTACCAGGGCTTGAACTGAGGACCTTGTGTTTGCCAGGTAGGCGCGGCGCCACTGAGCTACATCCCCGGCCCCTAATTTTTCATTTTTTAAACAAGGGACCCCTAGCTGGTCCTACTCTGAAATATTTGTCCAGGTTGGACATCCTCAATTTTAAGGGCAGGTTTCACGAAGGTGGGGTTTTCTCCTGACTAGGGTATTATCCCCAAAAGTGAGGTCTGTCTGGCAGTGCAAAGTTGAGACTTTTGAGTCCCAGATGAGGGTCCAGGGTGGGGGACTGTCTTACTCAAGTGAGAGTCCTTCCCCTGTGGGAAAGTTTCTTGATTAGTTGGGGGGAGTGGTGCCTGCAGTAACTCCTGAGCGCCAGCGATCCTCCCCACTCAGCCTCCCAAGTGCTGGGATTTACAGGCACGCCTAGGGAGGAAGTACCCTAATGGACAAGAGAGGGTCCTGCCGGCTGCTCTACATAGTGAGTTTAAGGCCAAGGAGAGAGGTGGGGTGGGGGAGAAATCTGACATGTCTCCTTTGGTTTAGAAAGACTCAGCATCATTGGTATTTATAAATGGCTAAGGAAAAAGGTCTAGGACTAGGAGTTTAACTCTGGTAGAGCTCTGGCCTACCATGTGTAGGACTGGGTTACATCCCAGCAACCCCAAAAAAACAAAACAAGACACAGAAACAAACCATAAAAAGCAAGGTCTTGGTGTGAAAGTTAGATTAGTTAGTTAGATTTGGATTTAAATCCTAGCACTGTTCAAACCTTAGCTTTTTTGTTTTTTTCTTTTTTGTTCTGCTGTTGTTTCAACCTTAGCTTTTTTAGTTTGTTTGTTTGTTTTGTTTTTGCAGTAATGGAGATTTAACTTGGGGAGTGATAATCTACATCCTTATTTATTTGGACAGGGTCTTGCTGAATTGCCCAGCCTGGACTCAAACTTGAATCTCCCAAGCTCTCAGGATTATAGGCATGCCCAACCATACTCAGCTGAACCATATATATATATATTTGGTGGGGTACTGGGGATCGAACTCAAGACCTTATGCTTTCAAGACAGGCGGCAGAACCACTGAACTAAATCCCCAGCCCCTGAACCTTAGTTTTTTAATTTGTAAAGGTAGAGTAAGTGTAAAATGAAAGGATTTCATAGGCGTGTTGGAAGTATTAAATGAACTAACAATACTTTAAATTTCAGCACAACATATGGCACATAGTAAATGCTTAATGTCTTTTTAAATACATGAACAACTTTCATTTTTTTATCCCTTAATCATTGCATTACAAAGCCATCAAGAGCTAGGTAAATATGCTAAATAAAATGTGGACAGCTCCCATAGTCCCAGCCTCCATTCTCTCTCCTTCCTCTAGAGGTGACAACAGTTAAATATTTGCAATGTGTTCGCCCAGTTCCTTTAAAAGCATGTATGCACATGTGTGCATATTCCTTTATTTATTTTTATTATGTATTTATTAGTACATGTTTGTAGTATATAATGATTATATAGTAGACTACTACTCTGCCATAAAGAAAGATTAACTTGAGACAATTGTAGGGATATGCATGCCCCTTGAGACCAGAATGTTAAAGTGAAATAAGTCAGACACAAGTTTAAATATGGCATGGTTTCTCTTATATGAGAAACCCAAAATATAAATAAAGAACAAAATAAAAGATAGATAACAGCACCAGTTTGACCAACGACATACAACTCCAAAGACAAAAAGATGGGAATAATGAAGTGTGGTCTGGTGGCACGTGCCTATGATACCAGCACTCTGGGAGGGTAAGGCAGGAGGATGGCAAGATTGAGCCCAGCCTGGGTAATTTAGCAATTTAGTCAGACCTTGTCCCAAACAACTCTTTTTTTTTTGGTACCAGGGATCGAACTTGGGACCTTGTACTTGCAAGGCAGGCAGCGGAACCACTGAGCCAAATCCCTGCCTCAAACAACTTTTTAAAGAGCTATGGATAAATTGGGCATGGTGGCACACGCCTGTAATCCCAGCACTCGGGAGGCTGAGGCAAGAGGATCACTGTGAGTTTGAGACCAGCCTGGGCTATATAGTGAGTTCCAAGTCAGTCTCAACTACATAGTAAGACTCTGTTTAAAAAACAAAACAGGGCTGGGGATTTAGCTCAGTGGATCGGTGGCCTGCCTTGCAAGCGCAAGGACCCGAGTTCAATCCCCGGTACCAAAAAACAAAGAAATAAAGGGCTATAGATATAGGTTAGTTAGTATTAAAGCTCTGAGTTCAGTCCCCAGTACCACAACACAGACACACACACACACACACACACACACACACAAATGATGGGAATAATTAATGAGAACTTCCTTGGGTACACATACCTATCAGTTATATCAAATTAAGATGCTTGCTTGCTTTTTCTTGAGACTGAATCTTGCTGTGTAGCGCAGGCTGGCCTCAAACTCCTGGTGATCTTCCTGCCTCAGCCTCCCAAGTCCTAAGATTACAGGTGTGCCGCACCACCTTGCCCAGTTTCAGAGGCTTTTTCAAAGTCCATCTCTAATAGTGGGATTAGGGGTTTGAGGAGTTAATATCTCTGTCTGATATCTATCCTGAGGAAAAAGTGGAGTTGACAACAAGTGAGGTTAGGATAGTGCCCCTACTGGCATAGGCGTAAAATTCAAACCCGTGGAATCTACTAAGTCCAGAACCTGAACTTTTCTTGAGAAATATAGTACCTCTCTATATCTTCCTTTGACCTATACTTTGGCAAGCCTTGCTTTGTTTGAATAAAAGAGCTGAGAGTACAGTGGACGAGGTAATAAGAATAGCACTGGCTACTGAGTGGCTGCTTACCACCGAGTTCCGCCCTTTGCAGCTGTTGTCTCAGTCATTCCTCACAACAGCTGTGCCTGGAACCCCTTCCTCTTACCTACCTCTTGGCAACGCTGTCCCCTCAGTTAGATTTCAGCTCAGATGTCAGTTTCCCTAAACTCCCTTCTCTACTTGCCCCCATACCCACCCTTCAGTTCATCTTTACAACTTTTGTTTCTTCTGTTATACTTGTCTCCTTTATTCTCTTAGCAGAATTATCTCATGGAGTGATTTACTTATTTATTGTCTATCTGTCCCTGCCTGTTTTGTTCATTACTGCATATTCACCATCAAATTCAGTATTTAGAGTTGGGGATGTAGCTCAGTGGTAGAGACTTATCTCACTTGAACAAGGTCCTGGGTTTGATCTCCAGCACTAAGAATCAAACAAACCAAGAAACCGGGCATGGTGGCTCACATCTGTAATCCCAGCACTCAGGAGGCTGAGGCAGGAGGATCGCTGTGAGTTCGAGACCAGCCTGGGCTACATAGTGAGTTCCAGGTCAGCCTCAACTACATAGTGAGACCCTGTCTCAAAAAACAAACAAACACACACACACACACACACACACACACACACACACACACACAAAAAAACAAACCAAGAAATTCAGAGTCTGGCAAGTCATAAGTACTCAAGAAAGAAATAAAGCACTGAATTTAAAAACCACCAGGTCTTATGTGCCTACTTTACAAACTACAAAATTGTCCCATCAAGGCACAGTGGCACAGGCTTGTAATCCTAGCACTGAGGGAATCTGAGGGAGGCAAGAGAATTGAAAGTTCTAGTTCCATCTGGGCATTTTAGCAAAACCCTATCTAAAAAGGGCTGGGGATATAGCTTAGTGGCAGAGTGTCACTGGGTTCCATTTTTAGTGCCAAAAAAGAAAGAGAGAAAAAGAGGGACGGGGAGGGAGTGGGAGGGAGAGGGAGAGAATACACTTGATTGTCCCAAGGATGTACCATTAATGAGTGAACAAATTGGGTCTGCAAGATCTTAAAATTCATTCTCTGAACCACTGAGATATTAACTTCATATATTTAGCTGAGGAGACAGTGCTTTTTATTTTCTTATTTATAACTTTGAAGAAAATGAATTTGAAATGGAATTATATTAAGGGTTTCTTATAGACAATAAGATATAATTTAATAAGTAAGCAATTATTAATCATAGTGGTTTTTCCCCCATTTATAGCACCTGCCTTTCCATAGCATCTGTTTTTGCACTGCTCTTGTCAACTAGTTCTTGGCTGAATTGTATCCTTGAGGTATTAGAGAAGCATGCTATTAGAAGCCAGTGCATTTATGGCCTTATTTATCCCCCCAAAGATGCTTTGTGGGGTACTATGTCTAGGAGCCAAAAACTTTTCTGCATTTTTATCCTTTTAACATCAATTTCTGCAAAATTAATCGATTGCTTTTCTGAGTGTTCAAAATAACCCAACTGTCAGACAAGAGTACTGTGTATTTGCCAGGTTTTGTGCTTGCTTTGTTGTTTTATGGTGTTGGGGATTGAACATAGGGCCTCATGCATACTGGGCAAGTGTTCTGCCACTGACCTACATCCCCAGCTTAACGTGTAGCATTTGGATGACGTTTGTACCTAGAGTCAGTTACAGGCCCACCTTCAAGGAGTTTCTAGTCAACAGTAAACTAATCTTTCTAGTACCATAGGTTAGGGTATCTGGAAGGACCTTAGAAATACAGGAATCTCTGAAATTTAGTGTCCGGATGGTAGAATGTAACAACGAGAGGAAAAGAAGAAAGTGGGCAAATCCGGCAAGGATTTGAAGTGAGAGTGAAGAGAGAAACTTCAACACAGAAGAAGGAGGTGGGAAGCAGCCCTTTCTCCCTGAGCCTCAGCTCACTGCCGGGGAGGGGGTGGCTCCCTGCAGACCCATGGTGATTACCGGCAACCCCACAGGCCTCCAAAGAGAAACACACCTATGGAACAGAACAGTGGACACAGCGGACTGCAGTGGCTGGTGAGTGATTCGGGTTCAGACATCTCCCGGGAGATGGTGATTGGCCAGTAGCATTTTTGGAGAGGGGCCAACTGAGCTTGGAGCTCAGAGAAGCTACAGGTTGGCTCCATTGAGCAGCACCTGGTGTCAGGGTAGACAGAACTAAATTCAAGTTGGCAGGGGTCAAGGAGCAGAGCTCAAGCTGGCAGGAGGCACACAGAATGTTGCAGGCCGAACAAACCCAGTTCTAGCCTCACAGCCAGAAACCAACCTGAATTTCAGTGGAACTGAAGGAGGAGGCTTGCTAGGATTATCCACTACCCTCTATAAATCTATGGCTTGCTTGCTGAGATTAATCAGCACAGATCTGGGATCTGTCTGCCCATTTTGTCTACCAGAGAGCAGAAACACACCTTGAAGTGGACATTTTTTCCCTTATTTTCTTCTTTTTAAAATTTATTTTTCTTTCTTCTTCATTGTTTTTATATTAGTGTGAAGTGTTTCTAGTTTTGTTGTTGTTTTACTTCTGCCTTCTCTTTTCTTATATCTTCTTTACCAGTTTCCCAAATTTACATAATCTTCCTTTGTCCTCTAGCCTTGCTTCTAATTTCTTCCTCTCCCATTTCTCTATTTTTCCACCTAACCCTTTTTAAATTTTCTCCCCTGAAGGTAAAATCACCATATTGAGGGCATATTTACAATATACAATTTTCTTATTTGTTTTATATTTTATTTTATAATCTTGAATCTAGTTCATATGGTTAAAGGTATAGTTACCATAGTCTGTCATTTTCTAGGCTGTATTTAATGCTATAGTTATTGCTGATTGTATTACTTTAGCCAAGGTGACATAACTGTTCTAATCAGTTGTTCTTCCTCATATGCCAAGATTGAGATTGCAAAAGGGTCATAAACAATGTTATAGTGCCAAAGAACCAGGGGCTAGGCCAAACAGGCAGCAACTTCTCATCCCCAATAAATTGAAGAAGTAGTATCTTGCAACAGACTCAAAACCCAAAAGCCAGATATACCTAGAGGCCATCTCTGAGAAGTAATAATTTCCTATTTCTCAATACTAGCAATAAAGCTACTTGCCATAAGCAGTTAATATGCATCAACCCAGGAATTAAACTTAAACAAAATAGAAAATGAGAAGACACTTAAACAAGATGCAACCCCAGGCTTTCAGCTCACCAAAGGCAAACCCAGAGGGCAATAAGGTGGAACAATTTTAAAGCCATCCAATTGGACTCTCTGAAGTATTAACAGCAGAAGTAACAAACCAAATAAATGAAGCTCTAGAAAAAAAAAAATCAAATAAGATAACTACTGAGATTGTAACCATAATGAAAGACATGGTTAGGGACTCTAGAGTAGATACAGATAAAGAATCAAGTAGCTTAGGAAAACAATGGAGATCATGAATGGCCATCATAGGAAAGAAATGGAATTCACAAAACAGATTCAAAAACATATACTAGGGAAAGGCAGATATCTAGGAGATTAAAAATCCCACTGAAACTATACACAACAGAATAAGCCAATGTGAGGACAGAATATCAGGTCCAGAAGACAGGATTGAGGTTAGAGATCATGAAATGAAATATTTCTTTAAAATAGCAAGGGACTATGGAAAAGTCAGTTCAACAGCTGCTAGATGGTGCAAAGAAGAATAGCATAAGATTGATCAGGGTCAATGAAAAAGCAGGTGAAGCCAGGTGTGGTGGCACACGCCTGTAATCCCAGCACTCAGGAGGCTGAGGTAGGAGGATCGCTATGAGTTTGAGACCAGCCTGGGCTACATAGTGAGTTCCAGGACAGTCTCAACTACATAGTGAGACCCTGTCTCAAAAATCAAAAACAAAAAATAAACAAACAAAAAAGCAAGTGATAGTGCAAATGACATTTAAAAAACCAGTTCACAGAAGTAATGGCAGAAAACACTCCAAATAGGGAAAAAGAATTTGACATACAGATAAGTGAGGTATGTAGAATTCCAATTAGCCATCATAAAAAATAATCTTCCCCAAGGCATATAATGGTCAAGACTCCAGAAATTCAACACAAGAACAGAATATTAAAAGTTGTTAGAGAAAAAAATGTCACCCCTAAAGGAAAGCCCACCAGAATCACAGCAGATTTCTCAACACAAACCCTCAAGTCAAGGAGAGCTTGGGATGAAATATTTAAAGCCCTCAAGGAAAACAACCCAGATTGATGTACCCAGAAAAACTATCTTTCAGCAATGATGAAGAAGTAAGATTCTTCCATGACAAAGAACACCTGAAGAAATTCATGACCAGGAAAATGTTCTGAAGGAAGAAAGAGATAACAAGGACTACAACTCCATGAACCTCAACAGAATGAATCCACTAGGCAAGACATCCAATTAAATAGAGGAGAAAAAAAGTGAACAATAACAAGAAAATAACATGTCAAGGATAAATCCATACATAATCAGTTATAACCATCAATGTAAATGGTCTCAGTTCACCAATCCAAAGAAACAGACTGGCAGAATGGATCAAAATCAAGATCCAGAACATGGCCTGCATGGTTGCCTAGAATGTTTTATCTTAGTAAGCTGATTAAAAAAAAACTACTATAAGTTCTATGCTTGAAATTAAAGTTTGGTTAGGGGCCAGGGATTTAGCTCAGTGGTTCGGTGGCCTGCCTTGCAAACACAAGGACCCGAGTTCAATCCCCGGTACCAAAAAAAAAAAAAAAAGAAATTAAAGTTTGGTTCCTGCTTTGTTTTTTAAAAAAGCAAGATCCAACAATATGCTGTATACAAGAATCACATTTGATTCAAAAAGAAATTTATAGGCTGAAAGTCAGAGGATGGAAAACAATACTCCATGCAAAAGGAAACTGGAAAAAAGCAGGGGTGCTATTCTTTTTGCAGACAAAGTAGATTTCAAGCCAAAACTGCTTAAGAGAGATGAAGAAGGTTATTACATCCTTGTAAAGGGAACAATCCAAGAGGAAGAGATAACAATCATAAATATATATGCACCAAATACCAGTGCACCCAACTATATAACAAATATTAACACATGAAAAATCAAATAAGCACTAATACAATTGTAATGAGGGACTTCAATACTCCACTGTCACAAATAAACAGATCAACTAGACCAAAGAAAAATATCAGAACTAAACCAAACTTTTGAACAAATGAAATCAGTAGATATCTACAGTGTTCTACCCCACAACAACAGAATATACATTCTTCTCAGCTGCATATGAGGCATTCTCCAAAATAGGCCTCATAGATCATGCTTAAGTAAATGCAAAGGAAATGAAATTATCCATCCATATTATCTATCAGACCATAGCGCAGTGAAATTGGAAATCAATGACAAAAGAAACCACAAGAACTTCATAAACACATGGAAATTAAATAACGCCCTCCTGAACAATCATGGGTCACAGATGAAACTAAGGAAGAAATCAGACAGTTCCTACCATTAAATGATAACACCAGTACAACATACTAGAATCTATCAGTTGGAATGAAAACAGTCCTACAATGGAAATTTATAGCAGCGAATTCCATATGACAAAAACAGTGTGAGCTCAAATAAACAACCTACTGTTTTTTGTTTTGTTTTGGTACCGGGATCAAACTTGGGTCCTTGCACTTGCGAGACAGGAGGCAGAACCACTGAGCTAAGTCCCCAGCCCACCAACCTACTGTTGAACCTCAAACTTCTAGAAAAAGAAGAGCAAGTCAAGCCCAAAGCTTACATGAGGAAGGAAATTATAAAGATGAGGGCAGAAGTGAATGCAATGGAAACTAAGAAAACAATACAAAGAATCAATGAATCAAAGAGTTGGTTCTAGGGCCGGGGATTTAGCTCAGTGGTTCTGCCACCTGCCTTGCAAGCACAAGGTCCCGAGTTCAATCCCTGGTACCAAAAGAAAAACAAAAAGGAGTTGGTTCTTTGAAAGATTAAATAAAATCAACAAAGCCTTAGAAATACAGGGACTGCCAGGCATAGTGGCATATGCCTGTAATCCCAGCACTTGGGAGGCTGAAGCAGGAGGATTGCTGTGACTTTGAGGCCAGCCTAGGCTACGTGGTGAGTACAAGGTCAATCTGAACTACACAGCCAGCAAGACCCTGTCTCAAACTAACAAACACATACCCACAATATTTTATCATTACTATACATGAAAAGCCAGTCTCAATTGCCATAAACAGATGATAACTCTAAAACATTATTAAAAGATATAGTAGAAAACATTTTGTTTCTCATCTTAGATAAGTGTGTCACACCTGGAAAACACTTGCATAAAATAAAAGGTTATTTGGGCCAGGGATTTAGCTCAGTAGCGCCTCTCCTGCCTTGCAAGCATAAGGTCCTGAGTTCGACCCCTGGGGTCACAAAAAAAAGGAGGTTCTTTGTGTGTGTACATGTGTGTAACATTGAGTATTGAAGTCCAGGGTGGAGTGGGATGGGACTTGAACCCAGGAGTAAAGTGCTCCCCTAGGTTCCATCTCAGTCCCCCCCCCAAAGGAAACAAAAAGAACAATAGGCAACTTATCCTACAAGGATACAAATAATAAATGAAAAGTCAGATCTTGATAAATGCAATAGATAAAGTAGAATAAAAGAATCAAGGGTAACAGGTGAGAAATCTTGTTTTAAATAGAATTTCTGGAAGAGGTGGTGCTACTGGAGCCCAGGCATTACAACCGGGTACTGGGGAAGCTAAAGGGCACAGAGAGAGGCTAATTAGAGGTGACTGCAATAGTCCAGGTGAGAGATGATGGTAGCTTGGGCCAGCACAGTAGTAGCTGAGATGGGATGAGAGATGGTCAGATTCTTTTTGGGGTTTTTTTTTTTTTTTGGTACCGGAGATTGAACTCAGGTCCTTGAGCTTGCAAGGCAGGCGGCAGAACCACTAAACTAATTCCCTGGCCCGAGAGATGGTCAGATTCTTGATACATTTGGAGTGGATATAGTTAGATATGACTCCAGATGTGTGGCCTGAATAAGAAGAGCAGATTAAGA